TATATTTATGAAACCTGAACATAACTAAATGTGGTCTTTCTTGACCATTGATTTTAAATCTATAATTACACACTTTTTGGCTTAAAAAATAGTTCAAATGAAAATGGGAAATTCAGAATGAATAAAAAAAAGTGGGATCTGGAAAAGAAAACTGATTTCACATAGTCATAAGTAGGAACGAAAAAATAAGATGAAATCAGATTTTTGGGGTATTTGTCCTGCCAAATCAAGAGGGAATTGCCCAATTCTTTCAATAGCTAGTTCAGTGGTTCCCAAAGATTTTCTGGGCCCCGCTTCAGATTACAATAAAATACCCCTCAAAAAAAGAAAAAATCAACTGTGCACACACATCGTTCAACCAGACATAAACCTATACACATATTTTGTTTTCAAACTCCATTGAAGTTTATTTCACACTTCAGGTTGCAACAAAACACACTACATACAAACAAACTTAAGATGAACTGGCTACTAAAACAAACAAAAAAAGAGATGAATCATTAATGCAGGACTGGTAAGAAAAATACTATGATAATCTAAAAAAACATGGCTTTAATAATGCTGTCTTGATGCAAACTGCCATTAAAGCTGCACAATTAAATATACTAAATGGGTTAATCCACAGTTTTCATTATGCCAGAATCTTATGGTGCATTTTGCTGCCTTTTCAATGTTTAATCCCCATTTTACATAAATACTTCCATCACTCAGCACATCCAGAAGCTCAAACCCTTCCCCAAAATTCTTCAGTATTACTGGGAAAATTTAAACAGATTATATATGGAAAACATAAAAATGAGAACAGAGTTAGGAGTTAAGATGTGCCACTTCATCAGGAGCAACATGCTGTAGTATTACACCTGCGCAGACACACACACACCTTCACTGTACAGTGTGAAGGCAGTGCCTGACCCAGTGGTACAGTGTAATCTTAGTCACATGCTGCCAACAGAAAACGGGGCCAAGAATACGTTTCGGTGACCCAGTCCACCTTAAGCTGGCCTGAAAGCTTGTCATCTTCTTACTCAGAGACTAGATCTGAAGTAAACATATGCTAAAGATGATAGGACAATGGAAGTTCATAATGCTTAATGCTTTTTCCATTTACATCCAGGTAAAACTTTGCATGTGTATGGATTTTTTATTTGAGTAATAAAACAAGAGCAAAGTAAATAGGATTCAGATTGCTTTCTTTTGTGCAGATACCTATTAGAGTGTTAGTATTTTGGATTATTAGATACACAGGGTTTCACCCAGTGTATTATCAGCCTGGTGGGTCTCCAGGCTTTACTTGTGGCCCCACCAGGCAGGTTTAGCATTGCTTATTTATTTAAGTTTTACACATTTTTTAGTTGGTGTTCAGAAAATAATCTTCCAATTCCAAAGTAATATTTTCATTTTAAACATTTTTTAACTCAAGAACATGGCGGGCCAAGACAAAACACGGCGATTGCCAAGCGCCCCCAACCACTGGGCTTAGCAAGTTTTCTTGGGGAAACCTTGATACATGATGCCACATGGGAAAACGGGGAAATGTCTTGTTATAAGTAAAACAATTTGGCAATGGAAGTAGTACTTTTTAAAGATCAATATATGTTGCTGAAAAGTTAGTTTCTTGCAACAAAATGAAGAGTATTTTTAGATCAGTCTCAAATCCCACACTAGAGTGAGCACACTTGCTAACAAACCAATCTTCTTGGCTTTGGTTCAAGTATAGCTTTGCTAAATGGACAAAGTTTATCTGTCCTGGAAGAAGTCCAAAACTAACATGCATCTTCACTGCAATGACAGCACTGGCTGCACGCATGCATGTGAACAGTCAGAGTTAAACATTTGTGGTCTTGTTAAAAATAACACAAAGCCACCACATAAGGACAGCTGTCACATAAAGCCCAGAATGCCAAAAAACTAGTTTCATCCTCAAAAATTTTTTTAAAAAAATCTCTCCCCAGCACAGAGAAATGTTAAAAATGCACAAGAATTTGTAAAATGTTCCAACATGTTCTAATTATGGTAATGCATTTGAAAGAAAGCATAATTTTTTTCAATCCAGTCCACTGCAACGGGAACTAACAAGCATTTATAAGGTTATTTCTAACTGACCATGAACTAAATACAGCTGCTACAGAATAACATTACCATGGCCTTCCTATATCTTGTAATGGTTTAATGACCCTGAACACAAAGGGCAAAAGCAGGAAGTCCACTTGATGCACATATAAACACACGCAGTTACTTCACGCACACCACATTGGTAATGTCTCCAGGACACCATCATGAATAAAGAAACAATACAGCCTAATGGTTTTGTATATAATAGTCAAGCTGGGTGTCCTTATCAAACTTATATCAGAAAAATCATTTTGTGTTTACTTAGCGTTGAAAGACTGTTTCAAAAAATAGAGTCAAAATAAAGTGATTAGTATCTTAAAACCTTGAAGAATCCATAAAACATACTGATAAGACACAGTTCCAAGGTGAAATACACCTCCAGGATCAGTTATTGTGAAAAACAGAGGAAAGATAAAGAGAAAATGGATTTTACTTACTTATATAAAGACTTAAACTGCCTCTACTGCTTAAGGAATCATTGCTTATTCAGAGAAATTTGTTTGGGATGGATAGTTAAGCTGATATCGGCCCAGACAGATGAAAACTTCCTTGTCTTCACAAAAGATAGTTGATATTTTCTGAAGTTATCAATGTTAGTTATCTTATCTTTACTTGGAAGATGTCATAATTCAGGGACTTTGTAGGCAACTAAATAAATTCTCAGGGAAGGCTAATGGTTTGAGGTGAATCCCCAGCGGCGGCTGATTTATTGACTTAAAAACAGCTCAAAATGCAAATGTTGATACACCCTTGGATACAAAGCTATGCTAGTGAATATTTATCATCTAGACTTTGACAAGAGTAGGTGAAGTTTGTTGTTGTTTGTCAGCCAGACACTTTCCTTGATACTGCATTAATATTATGCTGCCTATGGCTGCATCAGTCTCTCTGATTAGTTGAGGCTCATCAGCCCATCAAGAAATGTTGATTTTTTTGACTGGCTGTCACATTTGTACAACAGTATATAAGATGGCGTGCTATAGAGCATTTCCAGTTCTCTAAAACATTTGAAAGTGATCCCGTCTGACAAGACCAGCGAAGTAAGCTGAATAGGTCTGGTCATTACTACTTAATTTATTGTAGCAACTTAAGAGTTTTACTCTGTAGATATTAACAGTTTCAGTTTGAGATGCTTTAAACCCATTGAACAAATAGTAGCTTTCCGACGCTCTGAGGAGCTCTTCATCTTTTCACCAGCTCACTGCAAGGTGACTGTGTATGTCAAAACAAGCAAATTCATCTGAGGAAGCATTGAAAGAACATTTAAAGTTATACCATGAACAAGTAGGACACATCCCTGAATTTCATCTTAAAAGTTAAAATTCAGGAATAATTTTAGGGCTGAATCAATTTCTCGAATGATTCGAGTACCTCAATTACTAAATTTCCTCAAGGAAAATTTACCTGCCTCAAAACTTTGTTAATTTATGTTTTATTATTTAGCGCACCGTGTTCCGGCCGGGACATCACTTGTGTTGCGTGGACCTCTGACTTCCGCCTCTGAGTTGTTGATGAATGCTAAGTGTTAGCGGCATAACGTCCAATTTTCAAGTTGGGCTCGTGGGGATTTTATTGATTGATGATAATGCCCGGATTTTTATCGTTTTTGGGGTAGCAATAAGCATCCTTAAAATAAGTACGGCAGCCTTTTACCTCTGAGAGATAAAGCAAAGACGAAGGATTTTTTGTATTGTGAGTAACATCATTAACATTCTATTTAAACATGTTATTGATGTTTAAATAACATTCTTTATTTTTGAGTTTGCCACATAACTTTTTTTTTATACGAGTACAAAAATCATTATATATTTAGTTTTATAAGATTTTTATTCCTTACAACAAAAGGAGAAAAAAAAAAGAAAAACCAAACAATTTTGAAGAGTAAGTTTTACTTTGTCCATCCAGACTTGGAAAATATTTAAGCAAATTCTGTAATTTACTTACTGCAGTTGAAAACTGGCTGATAACATCTTTGATCACATCAAAGATGACATTTTCTATTACAAGTTTGAGAACTAATACTGAGCGTAAAGTTAGCTGAAATAATAATAAAAATAAATAAATTTTAAAAAAGCAAAAACTATAATACAGCATCGTTATCGTTTCTAAAGATGCGTTTCTTCTCTCAGGTGTTGGTCATAACATGGGACACTTGGTACTAAACATGAGATATCTTGTTCCCACCATGGTGATGTTGTTTTTATTTTGACTCACCTTGACAAATGACAAATTGCAGGTTTTTTCCATGATCTACTCATAGCTGCAGTAGTGCACTTGTATAACGCAAAGGAATAATTTCTCTCAATCCCCGGCCAGTTGAGGCAAAAGGTTGACTATTATCTCCTGTTAATAGAAAATTGTTCCTCTTCCCTGCCACTTTATGCTTGCTCTGAATGAGAAATTGCAGTGATGTGAAGACTCATTGCACTGGTAAAGATTTATGACTTTCAGCCAATTCCCTGTACTTTTTTCTGGACCCAATCTGACTCTTTGAAATGGATATTAATATAGCTGTTTGCCTAAATTGACTAAACGTAGCTGGATTTCTATATGAGCAGTTTTATTTCATGTACATTGAGTACATAATTTTAAGTAATTCGTCCAATTCAAATTGAATGGATTGAAGAACGAGCTCAAACACGTGGGCCTTGATTTGCTCAGTCACAGTGGAGCATCAGCAGACCCACGGTCACGCAAGAACTCGGAGTCCTCACGAGCAGGAGGATAGCTCTGAACATCTTCAAACAGCAGCCGGTCCGAGTTACCGGATGTTATAAAAAAGCCGACCGCTTCCAAAACTGAGAATTTTAGTAAAATTAGGCTAACTAAAATTCCGCGGTATGCTAAATTCGTCACAGAGGATTAAAAATGGCTCGTTTAGTACACACCTGCCCGATGAAAAAGAAGACGGAGCCCACTTCCCCTCTTGGCGAGCGCTACGTCCGCTGGCTCGTCCCCGTGGCTTGTGTTGTTGTCGCTGGCGGAGGAGCGGGAGACAAGCAGTCAGGAAGCAGCTCAGTCACAAAAAGCCCGATGAGGTAAGTCTGATTCCTCCAAAACCAGCTCCTGCTCTTTGGCTATATATAGTGCCTCGGACGCGTTTTGAAACACCTCCTGGACGTGCGGATACTGCCCCTATATCAGCTTTCATAAAGCCACGGGGTTGAAGAACGTCACTACGCATGCTCACATAACTCAAGTGACGTTACGGTCAGCTTTTAGCCCCGCCTCCGAGTCAACACTCAGCCAATCAGGAGCGCAGGAACGCCACAGCGCCAGAGTGAGGATGTCAGACTGATCCTGGAACAGTTTCTGAAATAATAACCTTTCTTGCATAAGCCGTCTCATGTTCTCTGCTGCTGGGCAGTAGTTTTACAAGAGGCAACAACGGCGCCCTTCACTTATCAAAGTGGGTCTTTTTGTTCACACATGGTGAGGATTTAGGTTATGTATTCCGCCACATTGCCACCTAGTGGTTGGTTGCACTGCTTCCATTAACCACACTTTAGGTTGAGTCATCAGTGGCATAACCACGTTTGGTAACAGGGCACAAGCAGCATCCAGAGGGCATCAATGTGTGTCTGGGCAATAATATCCCCACATGTCTTGAGATGCTTAATTTCACACAGTGTTGCGGGGGTTTGCATCTGTTTAGGTTTACCTATTTGTTTCATTTTACACTTATTACAATAGAATGAGGACTGCAAACACCCATCAGGGGCATGCATATCATAAGAGATCAAAATGGCAACAATAGTTGCAAATAATGTATTGATCTTCAGGTTTTGTTTGTTTTGAATATATTATGAAAATTACATTTTCATTTATAAATATATAAATGTAAAATAACATTTAAAAAAGTGCAAGCATACAAATTATTTGTATTAGGCAAGTCAAAGTGAGAATAGTAGAGGATGAAATGACCTAAAATGACAAAAAGGTTTGCATACTCTCATCACGAGCAGTAGTATAGTAATTTGGGTTTTTTTCCAGGATTGTAATGATTTGTAATCCCGGTATGGTGTGTATGACTGACTTTTTCTTTTTTCTTTTAATCCACATAGGGAGAAAATTATACAATACTGGCTCAAATATTAAGTCATCCCACAAATATTTACATTATTGTCCTGTAGTGAGTTCCAGAAGAATCACACCAAGTTTGGAGCCATTCTTAAGGCTAATGATGAACATTAGAGTCAATTTAAATTGCCTGGTTTGCTGGAACAAATGTGCCTTTTAAGCGAATCTATAGATTTCCAATATTGTTGAGATCAGGACTTATTTCCAGAACAAGTTTTGGGATCCTTAGCTGGAAGATTTGGAAGTAATCTATAATCTTTATTGTTCTATTCACTTTTGCAATCAATACCACAGGCAGCAAAACACCCCTAAGCATGATTTTTCAACCACCATGCTTAACAATTGGTACCCTCTTCTTTCGTTTAAAAGCCTCAGATTGACTCCTTTGTGACCGCTTTCTCAGAAAGGATTTGGCTTGTGCATGTAAACACCAGCAGCATCCAATCTGATTGAATTGTTGTCAGTCTTGGAGCTTCTTTCTTGCACCAATGTGTCAATGCTGATGTTAAACTTTAATAGAGACAGAATAGCCTAGGAACAATCAGACAAAGATGTTTGTAAAGATACTTCAACTCTTCCTTGTCCAACACCAAATCAGAATGACTCACGGCCAGAAAACACTATCAACCAAACATTGACATTATAATAACAGCAGAAACTAAAAAAAGGCAGCAGCAACATCATCAGTATTTCTAACGATTTAAAAAAAGAAATCTTAGCTAAATTTATGCGGAGCAGAATTAGCATTATGCTAATCAAAGCAACGTTCTTAACTGATGATCCGCAAAGAAATGACAGTCAAACAACAAAAAACGAGCATAGTAATATGGTAGCTAAAGCTAATAAAACACGCAGATAAACAGAAGCCGTAGCTTACCGTCAACCAGAAAAATCCTCTACATTGTCAATAAAGATGGAGAATTCCCTCAAAGCTTTTCCCTCGACTGCCATCATAGCTATCGTCAATTGTATCACCATGGCGACCCTAAACTTTCAGGCCAGGGCAAACTTCCGCGCTATCCGTAGACGGTTAATTCAGCGATGCTGATTGGTCAAATGTTTATTATTTTCCCGTAGCAACCACATGTGATTGGCTATTTATTTAACTTCATTTATAAGGCGCAATCAGCGAATTAAAGTCAATCGGTGGAAATGTCGTGAAAATAATTCAAATTAAATTTAGGCACACGGTATTAAAGAAAACAGGTTAATACGATTTTAATCATGTAGATCATGTTTAGATTTGTTTTCTTTTCCTCCATAAAAGAATGGTAAACAGGCCATCTACCATTTACTGTCTCTACAACTTTTTGAAGAACATTGAGAACTTACGAGTTAAAATTGATCAATTGAGTATTTTTGAATTTGATTTTGAATATATATTTGTTTAAGTAATTCAGACCCTCTATTGTTTTAATCATTCTACCCTGGGGGGAAAAAAGTTGAAATGTCTCTAAAAATCAAAATAAGAATCATGCCTGTCACAATTAGATTCTCGTTATTATTGTAACTTTTTTGTTTATATGTTTTGTATTCTTCATCTATTTAGTTATGCATATCTATAGTTAGAAGGCACAGACCACATTTCCAAACAGTAGTCTCCATTTATGCCTTACAGCCAGGTATGTTTGTCTTTCCTTGTCCAGGCTTGTGCTTTCTCACAACACTCAGCCAGATTTCTGCTCATCCTGAGCTGCTTTTGCTGATGCTTTGCTGGTCAAAGAGAGCCGTTCCTCTTCACTGGTATGGTGCTTGCTCAGGATGAAGGAACTGCAGTGAAGCAAAACGTTGATGCAATCTACTGGAGATCTCAGACAACTTTTTACTGCTTGGCTTTCTACTGAATTGCAATTAGATGTAAATTAACTGTTCCTTTCTGGATTTTTGCCTGACTGACTCCAAATTGTCAGATTGTATCCAAATTACTTTGGATTTAATGAATTTGATCTGAAGTGGTTATATAGAAACTGATTTTGTTTGTGTGTTTTTATAATCTGACATCGACATACTACCTCTTAAATTCTTTTTTACTCTGTTCTTTTCCTTTATTATCTAGGGTTGCTAAAAAGCCTCAAAGCCAAAGTAATGGACAATTTGGAAATGCCAGAGTACTTCCGCTTCTGTGCACCAAGTATAGTTCACACTCTGACAACTAGGAGGGAGTAAAGTTCTTCTACAGGTACTTTGTCGTGTGAGTCATATCTGTCAACAGACATTCATGGAAAACAGGTATGAAGCTAATTAACATCAGTCATCCAAAAGGGGCTAAAAGATAATGTTGAAATAGAAATACTTTGAAATTGGTGAAGTTTGTGGCTCTTTAATGTTGTGACTTCATAAAGGTCCAGCTGCACCTTACATTTTACTGCGACTCAGAGTCAGCATGCTCGTGTACACTGCATCAATATACTACAAACTTAAGTCAGCATACAAACACTTTTTACAGTCCTTTTACTTTTCAGAGCACTGTAGGAATTAACTTTTCCAATTGGAGCTGTTGACATAATCTTTGAGATTACAAAAAGATAGAACTTTTAAATAATTTCAATTACTAAACATGAAAAGTATCTAACAGATTAACACCGGAAACCCTTATGCAGTTGTTCGTTTCTGGTGTTCCATCATCCAGTGCTGCACAGATAAGACCAACCCACTGCAGGATATATAACTATTAACTATACATATATACAAACACACTGGTTTCCATCAGTGGTGCATCAGATGCAGGTATCTACAAAGGTTTTATACATAATCAGAAAATTTTAGTGCAAGCTAATCTCATATTTCAAACATGCTTTCTCTTTTTATGTGAATTTTTAAAAAATATTTTTCCTTTGATCTAAAACGTCTGTCTCTACATGAGTGCGTACGTTGGTGCTAAAGCTTGGTTCCAAGAGGATTCGGGTCGGGTCAGTGATCATCTCATGATGGATGCACTAGGAGTTCTTCTGTTGTGGGAGAAAATGCCATTCAGGAAGCTGATCGTCACTCTGAAGCAGTCCTTTGAAATCCAGGGACAGTTTCTGATGCGGCTGAAGAAGTGCAGAGGGGAGCGGAAACAAATGTGTGCTTTCTGTGTTTTTACAGTACCTATGTTGTAATTCAGTAGCAGTTCTAAGTGTTAGTACAGCGCCTGAGAACTGGGTGAGGTGGCTGGGTAATTAGACGTGCTAATGAGGGAAAATCTACTGAGAGAATCCAGCTCTGTTTTATATCACATTTTCAAACAGCTGCATGGAGTTCATGATGTTCTCGTCCTGTGGAGATAAAAACCGAAAATAAGAAGCTAAAGTTTAGACTCACTTTCAGAAAACCAAGTACAAAACAAACTGTGGTGTTCTGAAAAGTGTTCACTCCCTCAAACACCAAAATCAGGAATTTTGTCAAAGAACAACTTGTTAAACTGCTAAAATGTCATAGCTTGCCTTGTAAAATTAAATAGCATCCAACATCTTTTCACAGTGATGTAAATTGGCCACATAAATAGCTACGGGGGGCCAGATTTGACCCCCGGGCCTTGAGTTTGACACATTTGCCTTACGGTATTATTAAGTTTCTGCTTTCTCGACACTTAAATGTTTCAAATCATTAAACACATTAAAATATCAGACCAAGATACCCTGATTTTGAGTTTTTAGATTTTGATTAATTTTATTATGAGAAAAAAAAATATCCAAACCAATCAGATTTGATTGAAAAAAACTAATTCCCCCCTTAAACTTAATAGGAACAATTTATGTCAATATTTTGCGATAACTTATGACGACGTCAGAACATCTCAGTTAGATTTAAGACCAGACTTTGACTAGGCTACATCAAAACCTTCATTATGACAACGTTTTTACATTATTTGTGCTCAAGCTCCAAGTTTATGGTAAATTTTTGATTAATGTTGGTAATACAGCTCTAATAGATGTTTATTGGTTACCTCTTCAGTGGACAGCATTGACATTGTATATATGTTTAATGATAGAAATAAAAATTGATTAAAGATTAATAAAATTTATCCATTGGGATGTTCCCAAAACAACTAATTATAGCTCTCATAAATTACTTTTGAAATTCAAAGATGCTTCCTGGACAACAATACATTTATAAGCCTGTGGTGATTGTGCGGTGAGTCTAAATAATACTTTATGTACATTTCAGCTGCCATAATCACACATTTTAGCAGCTGGTGGGTTTTTATTTTGGGTGTTGATTCAATAAATTGACCTGTGGGAGAAACAACTTTTGCCAGAACAACAGGACAGCTGGACGATTGAAAAAGTGCAGATGTAGTTAGATCTGCGGTTGTAAACACAGATTGTATCCCTACTGGGTTTTTGTTCGTGAAGTAGTTGCCTAAAAAAGAATGGACGCAGACTTGGTATTATTATATCAACCTGTACTTACTGTTCAAGTTTTATCCTAATTATAGTATGCAGTACAACAACATGGCATTGTTAGAATTTACTTGTGTATTACTATAATTTACGTTTCCCTGATGAATAGTGATATGATTATTTTCAATATGTTGATTTTCAGTCAAGAAGTTTGTTTGATCATGTTTAACTTTCTTTTAGAAAACAAACTTCTTGACTGAATATTAACAATTAAAATCTAAATGTGCCAGAGGTGTGAGTAGTTTTGGGCTCAACTGTGCTTTTCATCAAAGTGTGACGTTAAACAAGGTGTTGCTCTGTCTGGGATAGTGAGTCACCTTCTGACACGTCTCAATGAACTCTTCGATAGTCACCACCCCGTCTCTGTTTTTGTCCATTTTCTGTTGGAAGAGGAAACAGAACCTTATAGAGGATAAACACGTCAGGACCATTTTGAGGAGAATATCTTTTAATACATTATGTTAACGTAAAATTGGGCATTCAGAACCTGGAAGAACTTATCAACATGCTCTGACGGTGCATCGTCTCGTACACAGGGGTACGTGTATCGCCCCATCATGTCATAAATGGACTTCATGATTGCAAGCATCTCCTGAGGAATAAAGATGGAGATAACATGAAATAATAATAATAGTAATAATAATAATAATAATCTAATTCTGCCACCATTACACACTAAAAAAACTCACATAAGTAGAGATTTATATGTAGATAAACAGGTTTTACTGCTAATCTTTGGTTTGACTTGGAATGCTGTATTATTTCCAAACTGTTTTAAAACATCTTCAACAATAGAACAGCTTAAAACAAGGAAAAATAAAACATAAAAAATAAAAGTAATATAAATAACAGCAATTACAAATACAGTAATTAATAGATATACTGACATGGATTAGCTTAAGTACAAGTATAAACGGTAAAAAATGGAAGACGGAATCAAATTATGATACTTGTGATCAAATTGGGGGTACAAATTAAACAAGAGGGGAAGTTTATGCAGTCTAATCAACTGATTGATATTAAGTCAAGAAGATGAATAAGAAATTAATGTGTAAACTCATCTACAGTGAGTTGTGATGCTCTCGGGGGCCCCCTGCTGGTGAGCAATCCCCATGCAGCAGACTAGTAGTTTGCTTCACGACCAACTGATTTAAGATAATCCAAGGGTTTTGTTTGTGTTGGAAAAAACAATCAAATAATAATGTTTGGCATAGAAATAATTAATGTGTCAAAATTAATTGAATAACCAATTCAAAATTACTTTTTATGTGAAAATATAAGTTTTTTGGGGACTTCTGGTGTTAAAATTATTGGAGGGAAGAAACAGAAAATAAAACCAAGTTTTGTTGAAATATGCTAATAATATTTTTTCCAGTTATTTCAAAAAGGCCAATTCTTGGCAAAACCCTCTGTGCACTGAGAACAGTATTTTTTCTGTTTTCAATAATGTCAAAACGTTATTTCCTGTATACAAGCACACACCTCTTTGGTGATGTAACCATCCTTATTGATGTCGTAGAGATTGAAGGCCCAGTTGAGCTTCTCTGTGACCGAACCTCTCAGCAGAACTGACAGGCCAATGACAAAGTCCTCAAAGCGGATTGAGCCATTTCTGTCAATATCGAAGGCATTGAAGAGGAAGTGGGCATAAGTGGAAGCGTCTGCGGACAGAAAGAAAGAAGCCTTTGATTGGTTTGTTGCTTTTTTGAGTACTTTTGGAATAACTTGTTGGATTCTGCAGGATTCGATTTAGCTACTTGTACTTTTTTCACTAATGTTCTCCAACAAACCTCTCAGACCTTCAGAGAACATCTGTTTATTTTTACACTGAGTTTGAATTACACAGATCAACTCTTTTGCCAATTCAGTAACTTCTGGTTAAACTGGTTGCACATTTTTTTACTCAGGAGTATCAGAGGAAAAGAGAATAAAACAGAATGGACACAGTAACTTCAGATTTTCAAAATTTTTAAACAAAATTCACTTATCAGCTATGGTGTATCGGGATCCACGATATCAATTGATGACTTGAATTAATTGATAAGTGGCCATTTTCCTAAAAAAGGTAGTATTCTCTTGTATCAAGAGGGCTATCTTACCATAAGAGGCTACATTTTTTTTTAAATTATACTGAATTTAAAAAGTATATAAAGAACATTATATTTTAAATTTTTTGTGCCAGCTCTATTAAACACTGACAAAATAAACAAATAAATGTTGGTTTTCTCGACATTACGTCTTAAACTTAGGCACATTTATAAAACAGAACAAGCAGGAACATACTAGGTTTCTCATTAGAAAAATAAAAGGGGAGAAGAAGAAATTATGGCCTATGTGAACATTTAACCCCCCATAAACAGAGATATTCATGCAGAAGTACAGTCTGTGGTTCATATTAAATAAGTGTTAAAACGTCACATGTCCGTTGCATTTTTTTTCCATTCCTCGCCTTCGTAGCACATGAGAAGTTGACGCTACCGTCATTTAATGTCTGCTGAATGAGCTATTAGGGAGCTTGTCGAGTGTTTACATTTCAAAACAAAACCGCATAAATCTCGAATAATCTTCAATTAATGTTGAATTCCACATCGGACTCTGTTTTGACCGTTTGGTTGCTCTCTCCCTCGTTCTGGGATACCCGCCATCTTTAATTGCGTTTCAACTGCCTCCGCTTAAGAATGACCAGCAGCTGCGCCCTCTGCTGGGTGGCGGCCAAACTACAATAATAAATGAACATCTACTCGGACGTCATTAGTTAATAGATTAGCCTTCATTTTAATCTAATAAAACATTGATTGACAATTAATCAGACGTCAATTAATTGCATGAATCCCTAACGTTTTAGGTTTCACATAACATTTTTGTAAAACAAAATTAAAGGAACAAAATGTGAAAAGATTAAAGGTGTATGAATATTATTTAAATAAGTGAAGACCTTGAATACCCTCCATTTCACTGCACACATATTTTTACTTACAGTCCCTGAAAGGACAAGAAATGAGCGATGGTTTTAGAGTCTAACCTCCTTGGGGAAAGAACTGAGAATAGATGGACTTGAACGTCTCCTCATCAACCATCCCACTGGGACATTCCTGCAGATGAAGGGGGAAAAATGTTAAAAACAATTAATGTTGCTATTAAAAGCATAGTAATGAACGCAACAGAGAACGTCCTCGCCTCAGCTTGACGTACGTTCTTGAAGCCTCGATAAAGAGACTGAAGCTCCTTCCTGGTGAACTTGGTCTGGGCCTGTAGCTGGTCCAGCCCTTCAGGTTGGTGACGCACTGTTGACAGCTCCAGGTCACTGTCGCTGCTATCTGTAGGAGCAAGAGATGGCGAGAGAACAAGGTCGGATCGACAGACAGGAAGAAGAGAAGAAGGAGAAGTGGTGCAGAGAGAGAAAGATGATGAGAGAAAGCGGGAGGATGGGACAGACATCGAGTGTGTGAAGGCAGGCAAACAATTGAGGGTGAGGATGGGTTCCCACATTTAACAGGGAGGAAAGAAGGGAAAACATGCAAGTTTAGGGGGAAGACGAGGCAACAATCTGCTGAGAACCAAAAGGTGGAAAAAAGGAAAAGGAGGTACTTTCTTTCAGGTGGAGATCTCCTTAAATTTTATTTTTCAGTCTAAATTTGAAGATTTTTCAACTCAATTCTCAAACTGTAGCTATCTTCACACATGCTCAGAGAAAGCACGGCACAGCTAGGAAAAAATAAAAAAGTAGGGAAGGTTTCTCCAGGTAAGCTGGGTTTCTCTTGCTCCATACTCACCATCTTCAGACAAAGAGAACAGAGGAGGAGGAAGTGGAGGAGTTGGTATTGACACCAAGATGGATTGAAAAAGAGTAAATGGAGAACAGTGGGAGAGTGACAGTAAGGAGAAGGAAAACAAAACAAGAGAAAACAAGTCAATTCGGGTCAGATCCTGAGAGGTGTAATGGAGAGGAGAAAATGTCCAGTTTAAACACCCAGCAGAGCAGAGACTATCACACACTGTGAAACATTAACCCGAATCAACAGAGAGGAACCGAGGGTCTGATTTTACGTCACATCAGTTCATTCCTTTTGGGTTCATTTGGTTCAACGAGAAATTTAACTTTGATTACGTAGGTTTCTGATGTTGCTTAATCTGAAAATCTGTGTCCTTTTGAATGTCAAATGCATTTTTCCATGACATCAAACACTCATTCTTGATCTAACTTATAGAGCAGCTTCTATAATTATTGTCATTCCTGATTAAGATGTATTAAAAGCATTAAAATCAATTTCTCTTTTTCTGTAGAAGCATCAGATTACATTTAAACAATTCAACTTATTTGACTTCATTCATTCTGTGGGGGGAAAAAGATCACTTGCTGAGACATAAAATGTTTTTTTTAATGCATGTTCAGTGTTAGAGACTGACTAGCAGTCCAAACATTCACCAGTTCATCAAACATCCCGCCAGAGTACCCAGAGAAAACCCATGCTTGCACATGGAGAACATTCCTGCAAAAATAAAGCTAAATAATGTTTCTGTAAATTTTATTACAAAGTCATGCTCAGATGAAACCAAGATTGGACTTTTTGGCGGCAAATGCTCCGATAGATTAAAACATGTGGAGCAGCACCCAATGCTCACTACATGGTCGAGGATATGTGATGCTGTGGGCCGATTTCTCTTCAATAGAGTCTTTGTTAGAACATACAATCATAAACTCTTTGAAACACCAGAAGATTTTATCCATCAGCAGCTGTGAACATTTTTTTCAGACAGTAAATTAAATTCACAATTCTTCTGTAATTTCTTAAAAAAAACAAACATTTAAAAAAGATTATTACCAAATGTCAACATAAGTTTCCAAAAAATGGTGCCAGCAAAGCACATATTTACACACTGCTAAAACACAAAGTATTTTTAATCTAGTGTCAAATGGAAATATCTTCATACACGTGAAATGAGAAGTACAAGTAAATTAAAGATATAGAAAAGTTGTTTTAAGTCAACAATTTTTAAAAACTGGTAGATTATTTCACTTGACATGGGAAACATGTCTTATTATAAGAGAAATAATCTTACAGTGAAGCTTATACCTTTTAAAATTATTGACTTAAAATAACCTCTTATGTTTTGCTGAACAGTTACTTACTTGTAAGTTAGTTTTGTCTTATTTCAAGCTTACTAAGACATCTTGACTAGGAACTAGGAACTATTCCAAAAATACCTGGTAAGATTTTGTGCTTTAGCAGTATTTTGGTCATGTTTGTGCATGTAAACTCTTTCCACTATAGATACATCTTCTTTAGATTTGGACAAATCTAAGAACTTTGGGAAAGAACTGTGTCCTTACTAATTCAAGATAAGATATGAAACAATATGTCTTGCATTATCTGCAATATATTTGCTTTGAGGTCATATCTTAGTGTTCCATTATCTATGGATTAAAGCAGTCATCTCCCCCGTCTTCTCCTCCTGCCCCCGCTCTGCCCCTCTATTGCCCCGAGTTGTTGCCTCACCGGTCTCAGTGATGTCGATCAAACCCAGCAGGTGCATCAGCTTGAGGAACATTATCACCAAGCAGACGATGCCGACCGTCTGGAGTCCCTCCGTCTCCCATCTCACACTCATCCTGCCCTCTTCTTCTATTTTTCTTCCGTCTTCAGTCTCTACTTATCTCGCCTCTACATCACTGCTTAATTGTTCCACCTCTCCATTTCTAGAAATGTTCCTTCGTCTGTTTCTCTTTCCTGTCTTTGACAGCATCACTCACTTATTGCTCTTTTTCTGCCATTCTATTACTCTATCTAGCCCTCCCTCCCCTACTGACGTTTTATTTCAGCGTAGCTTTTTTCCCTCAGACCTCTCTTGCGCTTATTTTAGGTATTTAATGCTGTTGTCCAACTTTTTTATTGAAGCTTTATAGATCAAATTAATGTGAAACTGCAGTAAAGGAGTGGAACATATTAGTGTCCTGCAGACATATAAAGGCTCGGCACACTGCAAAAATACAAGTTTTTTTGGTCTTGTTCCTAGTGCAAATATCTTAGCATTCTTGAAATAAGACAAAAAAAAAACCTTAGAAGTAACTTTTCAGCAAGATATAGGGGCCTATCTTGACTAAATAATTCATTAATATTGATCTTTTAAAAAACAGAGTAGTTCCATTTATAACATAACAAAAATGTTTTGTTATAAGAGAAGCATAATTAATAAGTGAAATAATCTGCCAGTATTTATTTTAATAAATATTAAGAAATTATTGACTTAAACAAGCTCCTATATCTTGCTGAAAAGTTACTTATAGGATAGTTTTGCCTTATTTCAAGTGTACTATTTGCACACAAAAAAATAGACAAAAAATACTTGAAAAGTATTTTTCGATGTAGTACATCAACGTCTTTTGATGCAGGTTAAATTATGATTATAAATTATACATTTTTATTCCTCTAGCCAATTAAAAACCCTTCTACAGCCACATCCAAAAGTAAAAATTGCTTATTATCCAACATAATAATAATAGCATCCTAGCACGTACAGCGGATTAAATCCTATAATGTCCTTCTTCCGTATCTCAACTAGTAATCAAAATCTTCAAAGGAACGATGCACGTATCTTAAGACAAAACCCATTCGTCTTTAAGGAAACGTAGAGGAGAGAGACAGGTCAACAGGTGTCCTGAATCTCATTTTTCCACTCGGCTCGTTGATCCACTTTCTAATTGTTCCCTCGTCTCTCTCGGGGTCTGCAGCACAGATTTAACGTCGCATTAACTCATTCGAGCTCCGCCACAGTCACTCCTCCGTGATGAAGTGACGCCGTGCGCGCCCGCAGGCCGCGTGACAGTTGTTCTGAAACTTACGGCGCTCTTTGTCTCCCTCCAGTGTTCACTAACCGAACAACAAAAACAGTGAGACACAAATCACATTTCTCTGACTTTATTTTGAAACCAGAGGTGAGTAAAGTAACCAAAAATATTACTCAAGTAGGAGTAGCGTTACTTTTACATATTTTTTTCCTCAAGTAAAAGTAAAAAACAGCTATCCAAGGAATTAAAAAATTAAGTAAGTTTCTGTCTTTCCTTCTTAGTAAAAAAGTATTTAGTGAAAAAGTTATTCATCTAAACATCAATCATTAAACATTTAAAAATCACATCATCAGATGGATCACAATGTAAAGTTCTAAGGATATTTTTGTATTTTACCAACCCTCCTGTCTGTTGGTTTTCATCCCAAGAAAACAAACAGACTTTAGTTTGTTTTCTTGGGATGAGTTTTGTGACATGTCAACACAAAATTACATAGAAGTCTGTGGTTGTAGTGTAACAAGGTTGCTAAGACCACAATTTATTTTCTGTTAGTCTTATCCTCAAAGATTCAACCTCTGGTTAGATATAGTGTCTACAAAAATTAATTGACCATGTTGGTTAGGTTATGGTCAGGGTGCAGTCTGTTCATAGACACCGTCTGAAAATAAGATGCTTTAATGGAGGCAGGAAGTGAAGGGAAGAGGCTGAGTTGACGCCTCCTTCCTTAACTTTCACTGCAAGGTTTAAACATTTAAGAGGAAGTTGATTAGCTGGTGAATTATTAGGAAAGATGAAGAATGGTGAAAAACCCTTGAATGGCTGTGGTCAGTGTCTGTCAGGGTCCTGGAGGAATACTTCAGACTCCATATTTAGGTGGCCTCAGAGAAAGCCCGTTCGATACCGCATGTATAATTAATGTGAAGTAATGCTAAACTGGGGAACATCGCCAACCACAAGAAGAGGAGTGAGCTACTGGAGCAACTGGAGATTGAGAGGAGTGATGAATAATGAAAAGACATTACTGGTGTTTTTGTTGAATTTATGACTTTATGAAGCCTGGGCCATATTAGAGTCACTAATGCGCCGACTGGAGCCTTCCGGCTTTAACCATCTCGGCACTTTGACATATCAGCCTTCAGCCCAAAACTCTAATCAAAGGGCAATGATCAATCAGGGGATCACATTTCTCAGTTACAGTCCCAAATGCACACAGACACTCCAGACTTTGTGATGAATCCCAGATTAGACAGAAGAGCCATTAACCTTTTCTGTTGTCCTGAACCTGCAGACGTACAAAGGGCTGGAAGCTAAAAATAGCAAAATAAAACAATTAAAAGGACCTGAACTAAACCAATAATTAACCAACCCAATGCAGATCACTTTTATTATAGTGTAAGGTCTTTCTCATTAAATCCTATTTATTTTTATTAAGTTGATGTGTTTTTTTGTAAAGATTCAGATGCTCAATGTGATGTAAAATTAAACTATTCTCAATTTTATAATAACTGTTCACAGGTAGAGTGCAGAGGT